GACAAGCAGGGGCCTCCCGGCTCGAGTCTAGAGCGGAGGGGAACGGAACTGGGGGTCGGGATATAAGGCTCGGAGGGTATGCGGCCTCTCGGGCCGGCCGGGGTGCAGCGGTGAGCGGGGAGCCGAGAGTTGGGGCCATGAGGGGGTACCCAGGGTAGCGGTGCGTGCGCACCCCCCTCGGTAAATAACGCAAGTCCGCCTCCGGGCAAACAGGGCGAGGTCGGGGACATGGTGGCTCAACTCCCGGCCGACGCAGCGTGAGGGGAGCCGAGGGGGGGGGGGTACCCAGCGGTGCGTGCGCACCCCCCTCGGTAAATAACGCAAGTCCGCCTCCGGGCAAACAGGGCGAGGTCGGGGACATGGTGGCTCAACTCCCGGCCGACGACAATTTGCGTGAAAGGGGTACCCAGGGCAGCGGTGCGTGCGCACCCCCCCTCGGTAAATGGCACAAGTCCGCCTCCGGGCAAACAGGGCGAGGTCGGGGACATGAGGGCTCAACTCCCGGCCGACGACAAGTTGCGTAAAAGGGGTACCCAGGGCAGCGGTGCGTGCGCACCCCCCCTCGGGAAATGGCACAAGTCCGCCGCCGGGCGAGGCCGGGGACACGAGGGCCCGACTCCCGGCCAACAGTTAGACGCATGGGAGGGGTCCCGGGGTAGCGGTGCGTGCGCACCCCCCCTCGGGAAATGGCACAAGTCCGCCGCCGGGCCACCCGGGAGGGGCCGGGGACATGGTGGCGCAGCGGTGAGCGGGAGCCGAGAGTTGGGGCCATTAGGGGGTGCCCAGGGTAGCGGGCGTGCGCACCCCCCCTCGGGAAATGGCACAAGTCCGCCGCCGGGCACCCGGGCGAGGCCGGGGACACGAGGGCCACTCCCGGCCACGACAGTTGCGTGAGGGGTCCCGGGCAGCGGTGCGTGCGCACCCCCCCTCGGGAAATGGCACAAGTCCGCCGCCGGGCCACCCGGGCGAGGCCGGGGACACGAGGGCCCGACTCCCGGCCAACAGTTAGACGCATGGGAGGGGTCCCGGGGTAGCGGTGCGTGCGCACCCCCCCTCGGGAAATGGCACAAGTCCGCCGCCGGGCCACCCGGGAGGGGCCGGGGACATGGTGGCTCAACTCCCGGCCGACGACAAGTTGCGTGAAAGGGGTACCCAGGGCAGCGGTGCGTGCGCACCCCCCCTCGGGAAATGGCACAAGTCCGCCTCCGGGCAAACAGGGCGAGGTCGGGGACATGAGGGCTCAACTCCCGGCCGACGACAAGTTGCGTGAAAGGGGTACCCAGGGCAGCGGTGCGTGCGCACCCCCCCTCGGGAAATGGCACAAGTCCGCCTCCGGGCAAACAGGGCGAGGTCGGGGACATGAGGGCCACTCCCGGCCGAACAGTTGCGTGAAAGGGGTACCCAGGGCAGCGGTGCGTGCGCACCCCCCCTCGGAAATGCACAGTCCGCCGGGCCACCCGGGCGAGGCCGGGGACATGAGGGCCACTCCCGGCCCAGTGCATGAGGGGTCCCGGGGTAGCGGTGCGTGCGCACCCCCCCTCGTCGGTAAATGTCACAGTCCGCCGGAGGGCGACCCGGGAGGGGCCGGGGACATGGTGGCTCAACTCCCGGCCGACGACAAGTTGCGTGAAAGGGGTACCCAGGGCAGCGGTGCGTGCGCACCCCTCCTCGGGAAATGTCACAAGTCCGCCGCCGGGCCACCCGGGAGGGGCCGGGGACATGGTGGCTCAACTCCCGGCCGACGACAAGTTGCGTGGAAGGGGTCCCGGGGTAGCGGTGCGTGCGCACCCCCACCTCTGGAAATCTCACAAGTCCGCCGCCTCAACTCCCGGCCAACAATAATTTGTTTGAGAGGGGACCCAGTGTATGTATTGGGGATCGGTCGTATGTAAAGATTTGTTGTTTTACAAGAGAGCTTATCTAAACTAATTATTCCCGTGTGCTTTCTCATTATAATTTAATACTCTATTATCCTCTTCTATTTCTCGTAGGGAGCAGGCTACTTGTATCAGTGTCGGAGAGAACAAAATGTCGCCTTTATCAAAAATATTATATGACCTGAAAATTTCTACATACGGCATTTTGCACTCGTGGTAGTGATATATGCTCAATATGTATGTTTTCACACTCGTAAAATTGATCGAACTAGAAAATGCATTAGAAAAATTAAACTTGTCGTCTGTTCAGAGCTAACGAGAGGAATACGCCATCCCCGAGTCAGAAGGATGTATTATAAAAATACGAGTGAAGCTGACACAACTGAGATATTTAAGGAGGACATGGAGGCCAAGAAAAACTGTCTGAAGTTCGATGGAAGTAAACACGATCGCAAATAAGACGCTTTTCTTTCCTTCTTTCCTTTCTTTTTTAATAATTCGTAAAGCGACAGTGGGGAGCCAATTACTATCTCTTTCTTTTTCTTTTTAACACCTCTCATGAATACAATGCTTCGATACCTTCGGTAGCGCTGAAGTATAATACCAATTGTGCAAATATCATG